GGACCTTCGCGTCCGGAGAACAGCCAGAGAGAAAGAGTTATCGAGATGACGAGACGCACCAGAGGACGGTAGTTCGTGGTTGGTAGGGATGTCCTCGTGACATGTTACCCCGTGACCTTGGCTGTCGCGACTACAACGTCCTCCATCGAGAGGCTCGTCTCCTGGCGCACGGATCGAGCGAGGATAACGGCCGATCGGTGCCCGTTCGTCCACGTGGAGTCGAATACCGGCTGCTGCCCGTCGTGCAACTGAAACCCGATTTCGCCATCCCGTATGTCCTCTGCTGGAGGGTGGCCAGCACGATTCACAGGATCCAGGTTCCGATACAACACCATCAGCATCACCGTTATCAGCGTCATCATCGACAACGTTGTCGACGTCACTTCCAGACGCCACGAAGACATCCTGTCCCGGTCCAGCCCTCGTCCAGATACCCTTCCCCGTACGGCTGCACCCTGCAACGTGGCAATTTTCCTGCGGAACCTGGTATGGAAACAAGGTGAGGCCTGATCCACTTTCGACCTAGAGCGTGTCTTCTCACCTTTTGCCTTCGAGTTTCGGGGGTGGGGCTTGCTTTTCGCTTCGTGAAACTTGCGACGTTAACGGTGCTATGTGCACCATATTTTACGTTATCGTGCACTCGAGATCGTTCGTCGAGTTTTAATTCGAGTTCTCGACAAGCCTGGCCAACCGGTACCGACGTCGCTTTACGAAACGGAGATGGACTTTGTTGTACGTCACGAGACAAAGGACCCGATAACGTAGCAAAAATTTCGACAGAATTATTCTTTTGAAACGAGGTCGGTGCGCGCTTTCAAAAAATGTGTAATCTTCATCCTATTATGCAATGGTCTGTTGTTCCAGTTGTTTAAACATTTCTCTTTTTTTCCGCGAAAACAACGACCCGGTGGAAACAAATTTCGCTTATTCCATTACCGACCCAAATTGCCAACAGAGAGAGTTATGTAAAAATTCTTTTATCCACAAAGACTCATATTTCAACAAAGTTTCATTTTCCACGAGTTCCAGCGTACTTTTAATCTACTTTTTGGTAATTTATCCGGATCGTGGAAATTGCGAATACGGATTGTAGAGAAAAATTTTCGACGCTTCCATCATTTTTTCGTTTGGTTCGATGAAAGAGAAAGATCGATACCTCCGCTGCCGACAGAAGATTAAAACCGACGAAGGTTGTTTCTGATTGGCTAGGCAGCTGGGTGAAGGCGAGATGCAGTTTCGCCGATGTGCTTTTTCCTTTTTATCCGTCAGGCCCGATCTTCCCTTGTTATTAACCCCTCCTCTTCGCATCCTCCTTTTCTCTTCGCGATTCTTCGGTTGGTTTACGTTTACCTTTTGCCGCGATCTGCCGTGTTTTCTTCGATTTAACATCGCCGCTTGATTTTGCTTTCCCATCGATTAAACGATTAACGATTTGACGGCCGTGTATTCTCTACAAAAACACGACGGCTCTTGTATCTCGACGTTTCTCTTTACACGCTGTCCTAGCTATCTAAATCTAAAAATTTGAACACAGTGCTAGGAAATTTGATCGTCGAGAATCGAGAGAATTAATTTCGCCAGATCTTTTGTGCTTCGTGAAACCCTATCACGACCCTGATGGGGGCACACCCTTGTCCATTCCTGTCGGACGAAATGGAAACATTTCGTCATCACCTCACGGCACGAAATTCGATACCGAACAGGTGTTACTACACAATGCCAGAGTAAAGTTGCTGATTAGTATACAATGGATTTGTTAACACTTGCGACGCGACCTCGTGATTTCTGACACGTTTGTCTATTTGCATATCGGTTGGTAATTTCTCTTCGCTCCTGATTTCTCTACCGCTTACACGCTATCTTTTATCAGTATTCGAAAGTAGATAACGCGATCGATCGATGATTGTCTGCTTCAAACTTTACTCGTCAATACGTTCTCGATTTCTGTCTACGAATTTCTCGCTTTCTATATTGTTCGGGGAAGTTCGTTGCCTATAAATTACCATATAGATCGCTTATTTCGTATCGGCAAGGAAGGGGTTAAAAGCAGACACGCGGGAGAATCGTGTACTCTCATGCGGCGACGTTTCTAAGCGAAAAAACTAAGTCGACGACGCCTACTGAGCCAAGCAGCCGTCTACAGACTTCTTCGTTCCACGACCTCCCGCTGCTCCGGACACTGAACTCGGCGGCCAACAGTTTCTTTCCAACCGGACTTGAAAAGTGGAGTATTCCTTTTCCGACTGTGTCCTTTAAGTCGCGATTCGAACGGAATATTAATCGAGCCGTTCGTCTTGCGCGAGCAAATAATATACTAAAGTCATTTCCGAGACAGTCGCCGAATATTTCATGCCGCCTGCAATTCTCCTCACGAAATCTCCCTCCCTCCTTTACTTTTTACGAACCCTTTGCGCCATAAACTTTCTAAATTTTAACGAAGAAGATTTTCGAGGACGTCCGCGGTATCGAGCGGCGTATGTTAAAGAAGCAGAACCTAATCGGGATCCGATAAAAAGGATGTACGTTTGACTTACACGTTTGTAAACACGTTTTTAGCAACCCGTTTTCGCGATGGAAGTCTTCCGTTCGTTGAACAGCTCGTTACGTATCTTCGGCAGGTACGAGGGAAGAAAAAGGTTGAAAAAAGTCGATGGCAAAGAATTTCGCTGACCATTCAGCCATTTCCGGCAGCTGAGCTGGTCGCTTAAAAGCTCATTGAATCTCTGGACTATCGATGCTTTTTAAGTTTTTACCTCCTTCGTATCACGCGCCAAGCAGATCGATCTTTCGGTAAAACCCTTCGAGTTTCGAATCTCTTGCCAATATTTCTGATATAATTTCTTCGATAGCTGTATAGCGATGAATAACAATAGGAAAATATATCGCCTATTTTCCTTATTCTCTGGCAAAACTTCTGTGTTTCAAAAAGTTTCATCGTAGAAACTGGGAACTCAGAGTGTTCAACTTGATACCTGCAATTACCGATAGTATTCCTTATCGGGCATATTGCTCGGATTTCTTGAGCTTAAGGTTCTCTTTAGATTTCTTAGGCACTGTTTAGTGTAGCCTCCCTGGATCTTCTCTAGATTCTGAATTTCCTCGAATCCCGCGAATAGCAAAAGCAAACGGTGCTCGGAGCGTTATCTAGAAGAATCGTTACAGACGAGTATAGACGGAAATTGAAGCAACTCGTATCGCGGTCGGTCGATTTGCTGGAAGGTGTTAGCTCCGATTAGATACATTTATATCGGTCGGATCTAAGCAAGCCGAGGCATTAGGCGAGGCTCACGGAAGATTCATGAGGGCACGGTATTCTCCGGGAGCGTAATTTTCTGCGAAGGGTGCAGGCAGGCCTGAGAAGGGGTTGGGAGCGGAGGGAAATTGTAATTTTTCAGGGACACACCGGGTTCGTGCGCCACGAAGAGGGTGGTCGCTATCGTTGCAGCTGAAATTGCAGCGTTCACGAAAGCGACTGGCGTGTTTATCGATCCTCCACGCTTCGTGTCGCGTACGTACGTGCCTCGTTATCGCCCTCTTAAAGCAAACGACGCTTTATCTGGATAAACGGTGAATAAAAGGGACAGCAGAGAAGAAAAACTAACCCGATATCGCGACGTATGAAAGCCGAACAGAGATGCCCGGGTTTAATGTCCCTTTTGCTGGCACAGCTTTACCCTCGTTGCGTCTCCAAAGGGGATGAATCGTGTCGGACTGAAAGCAGCATTCCTTTCTTCGATTTAATTTCGTAGATCTCGTGAACGGGATCTAGTTTCACTCTGCAATTTTCCTCGTGATACAGGTACACTGGGTTACGGAGGCACAAAGGACAGGAAAATAAGGAAATTGACCTGCTGACACGAGCTAGCATTTTTCAGTCGCCTCGATTTTATTCTCCTTGAAACGCTATTCGAAGTTCGACGTCGAGAATAGAGGTTGTTCGATTTCCAGAATATTTATTTTATAACACCGAACTCTATGTTTATTTACCATGCTTTGAACAAGCAGTTTTTCTCATCATTTATTTTTGTTTCCTCTCTCAAAGGAAACTGATCAACTTGTTCTACTTTCTTTGATAGTTTTATTTTCATTTCCTGGGTAGTTCGACTACAGTGATTTTCTTACTCCACTCGCCATTCGTTCCAAACATATTCGAACATATTAAATATTTTAGAAACGCGAAATAAATCAGACGTCGACAAAGGACAGAATCGAGCAAAAACGCACAAGTTTTCACAGTGACTTTTGTACCTCTGAACAATTCTTTGAGAAGAAAGAATTGCTCTCTTTCGCAGAATACTTATTTGAAAAGTAATCATGCTCCGTTCGAAAAATGTTCTTTGTAGTTCCAGCTGGCCGCAGTAGAATAAGTTCGTCTTGGTCAGACGCGGAAACAATGCGTTCACTAGCGCAGTGAAATCGGACATACGTAGTAAGACATATTGAAATCCAGATTGTCGAGGCTATCAGCAACTGGTTTTTAAATTTAAGTTTGTTATTTATTACCTGTTTATATCCGCAGCAGTTCAGAATTCGATCAACAAAGTTCCACTTGTTGCCATTTCTGTAACGGCGGTGAGTGTATCAGGAATCGAAGTGGATTATAGAAACGAACGGTCGTTTTTGATAACGGTATCATTACACCAATAACAAGCGCATAAAGGATACGGAAAAAAGCAGTCGTAGAATTTATCGAGTGTCGCAACCACCTGGCATTAATAATCAGCTTGATTGATATCCGGCAAGTTTCTTTCGACCAACCTTTCTCGTAATGGCGTCGATTAAACGCCATTATCTAGCAATTAGAGATTCATTGAAAGAGCAGGCAAGATGAATGATCTTCCGACTCCCGGCTCGTTGACAGCGAATGAAAGGAGAATGTTAATAATCGAAGATCGCACACGACCAACGACGGACTCCTTTTAAACGCGCGAACAAACAACGTTTAAGGAAAAAATTGATCGAAAGAAACGCGTGCTTGGGCCTTAATAGGAGACCACGTCTCTTTCGAGTACACTTGTCTCTTCGTCGACTCTCGAAACTGAACGAGCTACTTTTTCATCACGCTTTACGAACATGTCTTCGAACAGTTTCTCAAATTCAGGACATACTTTTCGATTCGAGAATTCTCTTTTCGCGAAGATGATTAATATTTTATTACTAAAAGTAGCGGTCAAGGTTACTTATCGATTTAAATTTTTACAGCTGTACACTCGGGTGCAATATACATCTTTTGTGATAACGGGAAGGTAAATTATGTGGACTAAAAAATTTTCAATTCAATATATCCAATCTTTCCCTTCTCCCGGAATCTGTTACAGAGCAGCTTTTTCGCGGGGTTCGAAAGTTTGTAGGCGAACGCATCAGTCACTACCATTAAGATCACCCCGTAGATCTTGTACGCGATAAAACATAAAATATTACAGAAATGAACGTGGTAGCGTGAGAATGATGCCGCGTGATATCCCTGGAACTGTTGGCCGCGTTCTTCGAACCACACTC